TACAGCCTTGACTTTCTAGGCTCAAGTGATCCTTTTGCCTCAGCCCCACAAGTTGCTAGGACTACAGGTGTGTGTACTACAACCAACTAATTTTTTTTTTCTCCTAGACTGCTCAGCAGGATAATTTTTCATTTTCTAATTTTTTGTAGGGACATGGTCTCACTGTGTTGCCCAGATTGGTCTCAAAATCCAGGAAGCAAGCAATCATCCCACCTTGGCCTCCTGAAATGCTGGGATTACAGGCATGAGCCACCATACCCAGCCTGTCTTTTTCATTACATAATTCAGTCTTGGCTGTTGGATTAACTTTTACAGGAAGCTAAATATTAATTTGAATTCTGTTGCAGTCTCTCTGTAGGGCTCACGTTCATGTAATTTAACCAGTAAAACCAAAGGTATTCAGAGGCCAAAGAAAAGATGGAAGAGCCTGAAAAGTCCTCAATTTCTATCTGTTGCTCCTCTTTGAACTTCCCACAGGGCTGTATAAGCTGCAGGATTGTGCCTCTTGTTGTAGACTGAGGGCAACTGAATGTCATATATAATGTCTCAGGGCAACACATTTGCCACTGAGACACATTTACCTTAGAGATAGGGGATGTGTTACTTAGAAATGTGGATTTACAGGCCAGGTGTGATGGCTCATGCCTGTAATCCCAGCACTTTGGGGGGCCAAGGCAGGTGAATCACTTGAGGTTGAGAGTTCAAGACCAGCCTGGCCAACATGGTGAAACCTGTCTCTACTAAAAATACAAAAAATTAGCTGGGTGTGGTGGCACCTGTAATACCAGTTATTCAGGAGGCTGAGTCAGGATAATAGCTTGAATGTGGGGGGGCGGAAGTTGCAGTAAGCCTAGATTGCACCATTGTTCTCCAGCCTGGGCAACAGAGTAAGACTTCATCTCAAAAAAAAAGAAATGTGGGTTTACAGAAGAGTGGAACCAAATTTTATTATGGCTTCTCCTTTGCATAGAATACTGTCTTCAGGAACTCTGAGAACACACCTTGTTC